ATGCTGGAGGATGGCACCGTGGTGGAGGAGAACCCTGCCCTCACCTTCACGCTTGGGGACTGCGACGTCGTGCAGGTCAGGGCTGGGAGAGAGCTTTGCTCAGCTTTGTCGCTGCCTTGTTTCTGTTCTGCAGGGCAGGACCTTGCCTCAGGGGATGCAGGGGGGGTTTTGGGGTTGGTGATGTCCATGTTTGTGAGTTAGAAGTGATCTCGCTGCCCCTGCTTGTCCTCCCTCCCCACAACGCTGTTCCCTGCAGGCCCTGGACCTGTGTGTGCAGCTCCTGGAAATGGGGGAGACAGCTTTGATCGTATCAGATGCGAAGTATTGCTACGGCGCTCAGGGCAGGTGAGCAGGGAGGGCTCAGGATGGTCCCAAACAGGCCTATGAAAGCTGTCCCCTGTGCTCCCAGGGACAGCCCAGTCAGCAAGCCATAGCTTCACGGGCAGGGAGCCTGGCTTGCTTCCCACATATGGGGGACAGCAGCATGTCCTGCTTGGGAGGAGCAATCTCCATCATGCCCTGTCCTAGGGAGCTTCCTTAGCTCTGGCTTCTGGGCCACAGTGCTAAATCTCTGCGGGTCAGTGGCTGGAAGGAGTGGCAGAGGTGGTAGTGGTGCCACAGCTCTGTGCCCTTCTCTGTGCAGGAGCCCTGACATCCCACCCAACGCGGCCCTCACCCTGGAGGTGGAGCTGCTGGCGGCTCGGGACGCACCGGACCTGGAGCTGCTGAGCGGCAGGGAGAAGGTTGAGCTGGCCAACCGCAAGCGGGAGCGTGGCAACTTCTTCTACCAGCAGGCAGATTATGTGCTGGCCATCAACTCCTACGACATCGCCCTCAAGATCATCGGCTCCAGCTCGAAAGGTACCTGCCCCCACCCCGAGGGCTTCCTGGGCTCCCTTCCTGCTGTAACCCAGCGCCGGGGTCTTTGCAGTCGACTTCAGCCCGGATGAGGAGGCCGAGCTGCTGGACGTGAAGGTGAAATGTCTCAACAACCTGGCAGCCTCTCAGCTTAAATTGGACCATTACGAGGCAGCTCTGAAGTCTTGTAATCTTGTGCTGGAGCACCAGCCAGGGAACATCAAGGCTCTCTTCCGGAAGGGCAAGGTGAGGCTGGGTGCACAGCAGTTGCTGTCGGCTCTTCTCCACGGGGTGACGTGGGGTGGGGATGAGGGACAGACCTCAGCTGCATCCCTGTCCTGCCTTCCAGGTCCTGGCTCAGCAGGGCGAATACAGAGAGGCCATCCCCATCTTAAAAGCAGCATTGAAGCTGGAGCCTTCAAACAAGGTAGGCTGCTGTGCTTGCCTCCCTTGATCCTGCTGAGCTGGGCGCCTGCAGGATGCTCTGCTTTTGGCTGTGGGCCTGCAAACCTCAGTGTCCCCCTGTAGGTGTTCCCAGATTCCTCCACAAAGCTGGAAATAGCCCCCAGGGCCAGGGCAGCCATGGGGTGATGCACCCCATTGTGCAACACCTGAGCTTGGCTGGGCTGGTGGGTCACTTATCTCTGAGTTATGAGATGTTCCTCTGTGCCCCTTGGTCCCTGTGGTGACAGGACTCCCTGCCAACCCATTCCCGCTTCCGTGATCCTGCTGGTGTGCTCCTGGCTGCTTCAGCTTCCATGGGTGGCTCCAGCCTGTGCCACGGCCACGGGAAGTGGAGCAGAGCTGAGGCCCTGCCAGACTCGCCGAGCAGCCTGGAGCGTGATTCACTGGGTGGCAGGAGCTGCCCAAACCTCGGTCCAGCGCCCAGGCCAGGGCAAGCTCTGGGTCAGGAATTTCCTGTTGGTTAATGATCAGCTGCAGGACGCGAGCCTTGGGAGAAATGGCCCCAGCAGGAGCGAGCCCGAGGGAGCTGAAGGGGAGGCAAGGGAGGTGCTGCCTGCACAGGGTCGAGGTGGGGGGCTTAGTTCGATGGGTCTCCTTTAATCCTCGACTGGCTCTGTCATTTTCTCCACTTCTTTTCGTGGAATTTCACCAGGCTGTCGTGATTTGTGTCATGATCTGGTGCCTGAAGGTCACAGGTGGGATGGGGCAATGGAAGGAGGTGCCGCAGCACCCGCAGAGCTTGTGGTCAGATTTCCCCCACGGGGAAGGGTGGGCAGGATCTCCATCCCTTCTCTTCCCAGCAGAACTGGGGTGGGCAGCCCCAGGAGCAGCTCCCCTCGTGCCTCTCCGGCACGTCACTGTTGGCAGGGCGGCTGCTCACCAGCCCGTTTGGATGAAGCTTTTAATTGGAGAGGGGTGAAAAAATGCCCGGCAGTGACGTTACCGGTTTAACCACAAGCACAGGGAGTGAGTGAGTGGCCTCCCCGGG